TTCAAATACACTACCCTTTCATTATGTTTGGGGCTGTTTTTGCCCCATTCACATCTATTATAATGACATTTTTGGATTGCAAAACATTACATTTTGCTGTTTGTTCACAATACTTAATTAATTTGAGCTAAAACAAAATAATTATTGAGTTTTTTTGGGGGACAACTTTATGTTAAATCCACTGAAATTCGTAAAAAAAAAACTTTAACTTAATTTCTTCATTGATCAAATTGATTGTGTGGAACCTAACATTGTTTATAGTGTTTGGAATATTGAAAAGAGGCATAGAGGATAATACAGTGCGTGAGAAAGAAAAATCAGCAAATGAAAACAACACTGTGATTAAAGCAGAGCAACAATAAATAATAGCATGGCCAGGTCACAACCTGCTGTTAACTTCGCGCAGCTCTGGGAGATCCAGCTCCGATGCAAAACCACCAATCAATATCTAATGACCACCTTGAGGGTTTCTATAAGGCACGACCCATCACCCTATGCCTTCCACGCCATTTCCAGCAATTAACTAAAACACAGTGTGATACACACGCACACTGACACCACGTCCGCCAGCCAAACTGTGAGGTCTGCTAGTAATGACCACTTGTTTTTCCTGTCTCAGCGTCTACCCCAGACACCTCAGAGACATCTCCAATGCTGCAAAAAAATAGGCGAGATACTTGATATTCTCCCAGCTAACCACTGCAGAGATGGTCATTTTTTAAAGCAGTATATTGTGCAAGGCTGCCGATGTCTGAAAAACACAGGGCTGAGGGGGCAGTAAAGCACAATGGAAAGAGCAATGACGCCTTATTATTCTACAACACGTCTCCTTGCTTCACATCTCTCCATTTTTATTTGTTTTTTCGGTGGCTTTGTTTGCTCTGCTGTTTGGGAAGCGCGGCGAGGGCACTCAATTGATATGGTCAGAGAAAAGGGGAGCTTCCTGTGGGAACGCATGAGGATCATTTCCCTTTATTCAGCAATTGATATTACACTCCTCACACCGCTTGACCTGTGACTCCGACTTGTTCTCTACAATCCTCTAAATCTATTCTTCACCTCGCTCTTGTTTTAACAATTAAGTGCTCTCAGAGGTCTCCGTCTGTCCATTAATGCATGAATCTACAGCGCTCAAAACATGACGATTGCTGTTTGTGCAAACTAAATAAATAAACAAATAATAGTTGTTCAAATTAAATAAATACAGTACTTAAAATACATGATGATTATGTTAATTTATAATTGTAAAGTTTTAAAACAAAAATACAACAAAACCCATAATATTAATAATAATAATAACACACACACACACATATATATATATATATATATATATATACACGCACACGCACACACACACACACACACACAAAATATTCGTCAGAGATTTTGCTCCATGTTGACATGATAGCATCACACAGTTGCTGCAGATTTGTCGGCTGCACATCCATGATGCCAATCTCCCGTTCCACCACATCCCAAAGCTGCTCTATTGGATTGAGTTCTGCTGACTGTGGAGGCCATTCGAGTACAGTGAACTCATTGTCATGTTCACCAGTCTGAGATGATTGAGCTTTATGACATGAAGATGGAGACACTGTGCTCATAAAGGGATGGACATGGTCAGCAGCAATACTCAGGTAGGCTGTGGCGTTGATGCTCAATAGGTACTAATGGACCCAAAGAAAATCTCCCCCACACCATTACACCACCACCACCAGCCTGAACCGCTGATACAAGGCAGGATGATCCATGCTTTCATGTTGTTGAGGCCAAATTGTGAGCCGAGCATCCGAATGTGTCAGCAGAAATGGAGACTCATCAGAGCAGCAGCGTTTCTCCAATCTTCTATTGTCCAGTTTTGGTGAGTCTGTGTGAATTGTAGCCTCAGTTTCCTGTTCTTAGCTGACAGGAGCGGCACCCGGTGTGCTCTTCTGCTGCTGTAGCCCATCCGCCTCAAGGTTGGACGTGTTGTGTGTTCAGAGATGCTCTTCTGCAGAGCTCGGTTGTAACGAGTGCTTATTTGAGTTACTGTTGCTGGAACCAGTCTGACCATTCTCCTCTGACCTCTGGCATCAACAAGGCAACACAGAACTGCCGCTCACTGGATATTTCCTCTTTGCCGGATCATTCTTTGTAAACCCTAGAGATGGTTGTGCGTGAAAATCCCAGTAGATCAGCAGTTTCTGAAATAGCCCGTCTGGCAGCAACAACCATGCCACGTTCAAAGTCTTTTAAATCCCCTTTCTTCCCCATTCTGATGCTCAGTTTGAACTGCAGCAGATCGTCTTGACCATGTCTACATGCCTAAATGCATTAAGCTGATGCCATGTGATTGGCTGATTAGAAATTTGCATTAATGTGCAGTTGGACAACCTAATAAAGTGGCCGGTATCAGAATGGAGGTGCATTTAGGTCCCCAAAACCCCCACCCCCCTTCCACAAAAAATATATATAAATAAATATATAAATATATAAATAAATAAATAAATAAATAAATAAATAAATAAATAAATAAATAAATAAATAAATCTTCTTTCTGTCAAACAGAAGTTGAAAAGATGCAGCCCTAATTGAAAGTACACTATAAAATAATGTGAGCGGTGATTCAAAACAAACTCCTCCTCCTCAATATACTGAGATCATCAGTTTGTAGTCCTTCAGCTCTGATATAAGGCTATTACTGCTTTCATCCTGAGCTCTCCAGCACTCTTCAGTCACGTATATACACTTCCGTCCTGAAACTGCTGGCCCGGAACTGTGCGCGCTGCAGCATTGCAAATAGATGTGTTTCCATTGTACAATCATATTGATTGGTAAGACAAGACAAGTGCTTTACGAGAGCACGGCCTTGTGGACTTGGCTATACACCTACATTTGGAACAATCTCTAATTTGCGTTAAAACAATAATGCAGAAATCTTAAAAAAACAGACAAGCAATCTGGCTAAGAGCTGAATGTGGAAGCATATCAGTGGCAAAAGTCATTTTGAAATTGAATATGCAAAATGGCAATGCAAAATATGCAAATGCATTTCTGTATTTAAATTTGCATTCTTCATGACATGTGCAAAAAAAATATATAAATGTCAGCAAATTCAATTCAATATGCAAATTACACATGCAATTAATATAGTAAATATAGTAAATAATGTAACTACACTCATCTTAAGGCTTTATAACTTACAACATTTACATATTAAAACTCTGATTGGCTGCTTAAATCATTATGTCATTTAAATGCAAACATTCTGATTGGCTGTTTAAATCAATATACAATTTGAATATTAAAATTCTGGTTAGCTGTTAAATTCAGTATGTTATTTTTGTAAATTAAAACTCTGGTTAAATATTCAAATCAGTATGTCATTTACATATTAAAACTGGTTGACTGTTAAAATCAGTATGTAATTTGCACAATGAAACTGGTTGGCTATTTAAATCAGCATGTGACTTGCACATTAAAACTGGTTGGATGTTAAAATCAGTATTTCATTTGCATATTAAAACTGGTTGGATGTAAAAATCAATATGCTATTTACATATTAAAACTGTGGTTGGATGTTAGAATCAGAGTCATTTACATGTAGCAACTCTTTGGATATTAAATTAGAATGTGATTTGCATATTAAATCAGGGTGGTTGTTTAAATAAGTATTTCATTTTCATCCATACTGGTTGGATGTTCAAATCAGTGTGCAATTTGCATATTAAAGCTGGTTGGGTGTTAACATCAGTACATAACTTACATATTAAAACTGGTTGGATATTTTAAAATCAGTACGTAATTTGCATCTTAAAAACTGGCTGGATATTAAAATGAGTATGTCCTTTGGATATTAAAACTAGTTAGATAATAAAATCAGTAATTAATTTGCATATTACAACTGGTTGGATGGTTAAATCAGTATGTAATTAGCATAGTATAACGGTTGGATGGTAAAATCAGTATGTCATTTGCATATTAAAACTAGTTAGATAATAAAATCTGTACTTAATTTGCATATTAAAACTGGTTGGTTGGTTAAATCAGTATGCAATTAGAAAATTATAACGGGTTGGATGATAAAATCAGTATATGATTTGCATATTAAAACTAGTTAGATAATAAAATCAGTACTTTCTTTGCATAGTAAAACTGGTTAGATGTTAAAATTAGTACTTAATTTGCATATTAAAACTGGTTGGATGTTAAAATCAGTATGTATATTGCATATTAAAACTGGTTGGATGTTAAAATCAGTATGTAATGTGCATATTAAAACTGGTTAGATTGTAAAATCAGCATGTAGTTTGCATATTAAAACTTTGGTTGGACTTAATAAATTAAAAAAAAAAACACTTTCATTGTGCACCAAACATTGCAGGTCTTCTAAAATGCTAATTTAAATATATATATACTGCAATGCATTTTTGTTATTTAAAATAACATTTTAAATGGGTTTTGCTACACATATGCTTCCATGGATGAATGAAGCCTATGTGGAATGAAGCCATCATCAAACGTGACTGGCCTGCAGTCTTAAAAGCATCACACACACACACACACACACACAAAATCGGTTGAGTCCTGATGGAGTGCCCCAAGGTAAGAGTCTTGATCATGGACTCAACGGTGATAGGTCAAGGATCATTGCTTGCAGAATTTAAACCAATCACCTCATCCCACTAGAGATCTTTAACAACATCTTTACGCCAGCATCATGATATACGAGCATTCCCAAGCGTCAGACAACAGATGAAGCCATTGATGAGTTGCGGTTGGGTTTAGCCAAGTCCAAAACCCAATGAGTGCAAAATTATTCACCTTCCTGTGACTTTTCCTTTACCAAATGATGTTGAACAGATTCAGGAATTTTTCACAGTATTCCCTATTATATTTTTTCTTCTGGAGAAAGTCTTGTTTGTTTTATTTCGGCTAGAGTAAACAGAGGGGGGAGGGGGCTCAGATATCCCCAATCTACAACTGTAGCCGAAGGTGCATTCGTGTAAAGGTGTTACCTGAGTGCGCAGGATTTCTCCTTTGGTCAGCTGCATGTCTCCCGTCAGCTCCTTGACGGCGATGCCCAAAGGCTCCAATCGCTTACTGAAGTAATTAGTCATCTCAGCAGCCAGGGCCTTCATCGGAGCCACGTACACAATCTATAGAGAGACAAGACACGCTTATGATAAATGAGAAGACGGCTCGCTAGCATTTGTTCCCTGGCAACCGGCACAAATAACAATTTACAACAGAAATATGAAGCCGGCTGCCTTAAAGAAAGAGTTTAATGGTGATGTATGAAGACTGTCTGTCATCGTTGAAGCTGTCTTGTGCAAATGCGCTTCGTGAGACAATGCATCCGTTTACATCTGGAGAAACTTCCTGACACGTATTTAATGCTCAAGTCTATCCTTGCTTGACGTGAGCTAAACAAACTAGGTTTTGAGGTAGGCGATGCATAAGGAATGGTGCGGAAATGAGTTATTGGCTGCCAGGAAGCCAACAGCTCACTCAACAATATTGTCTTTGTGTGTGTGTGTGTGTGTGTGTGTGTGTGTGTGTGTGTGTGTGTGTGTGTTTACCTTAAACTGGTCCTTGCGGATGACTCCTCCAGGCTGTAGGTGCTGGCGGATCTCGTGTAGTATTGTGAGCATGGCGATGTTGGTTTTTCCGGCACCGGTGGGGGCGCATATGAGCAGGTTTTCATTGGTGTTGTAAGCCGTCTCGAACACTATAGACTGGATTCTGTTCAGCCTCTTCATGCCCTTGAACACCAACTGGCCGATCTGGAAGAGACACAACAAACATTTCATTTTAAAATACATGCAAAACACATGAACAGATCGATTCTGAGGAACGATTCAGAGCACACGTGTGAGCTGATAATACATTACAAGCACTTTTTAAGATGGTTTATTAGGGCCAGACAGAATCTGCAGAAATTTCTTACCATTTCTGTGCATAATTTTGTCCAAAATCTGAGGAGATTGCAGATTTTGGAAGTGCGATAACTAAAAACTTAATATATGAAATATAAAATAACACCTTTTGAACTTTTACTCAATGTTAATGTTATTCTGAAGGCAAATCCAATTAGATCTGATCCACTTATTTGGTAAACAAAGCAATATATCAACTAAATGACAGAAAATACGACTTTACACACTGTATTGTAAATAAATCGTAGTGACATTTTCATATTAGTCAATATTATTCATATTAGTCAATAATATTACTGAAATTAAATTATAAAACTGAATAAATATAAATGTACACACATTTACACAAGTAAATAAAAAGACTCAATGATGGACTAAAAATCTGTGGATTTCTGCACACACAGATCCCAGTTTCAGCGTACAATAATTCAGAACTACATGAAATCAGTTTTCTCTCAGGAATCAGTCGTGTGCTTAATTTCTACCCTCAAATTCCCTATAAATAGCAATAGAACTTAAACTCATTATTAAAGTTAGAAAAGATTTAAGCAAATTAAAAGAGTGCTATAGTGAGCAGTTTTTAATAATCTCATGACATAAAGGCCTACTTGCATGACTCGTCGAACCCACTCTTTTATGTGAGCATTTGAGTATATGGGTAAAAATAGACAATAAAACAATAGCCTCTTTTATATTTTTATTTATTTATTTATTTATTCAAGTTGTAAATTTATTTGCATAATATTAAAAACAACAACAACAACAATAGCAATAATAATAATAATAATAATAATAATAATAATAATAATAATAATAATAATAATAATAATAAATAAATAAATAAATAAATAAATAAATAAAGGCGTTGAGTGCCATCTACTGTAAAATAAAGAAATAAAGAAATTACAACTCACTGGATAAATATATATATATATATATATATATATATATATATATATATATATATATATATATATATATATATATATATATATACAGTTAAAGTCAGAATTATTTGCCCCCCTTTGAAATAATTTTTTCTTTTTCTTTTTTACATTTTCCAATTGATGTTTCACAGAGCAAGGAAATTTTCACAGTATATCTGGTAATATTTTTTTATTTTGGAGAAAGTCTTATTAGTTTTATTTCGGTTAGAATAAAAGCAGTTTTTAATTTTTTAAACACCATTTTAAGGCGAAAATTATTATCCCATTTAAGCTATATTGTTATTCGATTGTCTACAGAAGAAGAAAAAACATTGTTTTACAATAACTTGCCTAATTACCCCAACCTGCCTAGTTAACCTAATTAACCTAGTTAAGCCTTTAAATGTCACTTTAAGCTGTATAGAAGTGTCTTGAAATCTAGTTATTCTGGATCAAACATCTGGTTTATAATTGACCGGGAGCTACAGAATTGTATTTAATCACAGTATTTATATGGAACGGATACGATTTATGCAACAACAAAAAGTTTCTAATCCAAATATCTAGATTTCAAAGCAGGGCTTAACATTAAGGACTGCCTGATGACCCGGGGCCAGTGTGATACGCTTGGGACAGTAGAAGATATCATTATACTGGCCCGACTGGGGCCACCTTTTGTTAAATAATTTTGAACTGAAATAAAATACCTTCACATTTTCCATACTGCTCTTTTTGTTTTGTTAACACATCATTTTGCTCATTACACATATATAAACATTTTAAAATATTATTTTAATCATTTTTAACATTTAAATAATTATACACATTATTTTTGACACATTATTTAAAATATGGGGCTAAAAAAATTATTACATTTAAATTCTTTTTTGGTGGGGCCAGTGAAAATTTTGGCAGGGCAAGTAAAAATCTGAACTATTGACCCGATCGGACCAGTAGAAAAATCCTTAGCGTTGAACCCTGAAAAGTGAAAAAAAAAAAAAGGATTCTTTAACGTACCCCACTGGCAGATAAGATTGTTTTAAGGAAAAAAATCTTAATTTTCCCTTTTTTCACCTGAATTTTAAAACAAAACCATATTTTTACTTGACCTAGGATTTATTTTTAGATATTTGGACTAGAAATGAGACAAAACAAAGTAAGAAAACTTTTTATTTCCATTGTGAGCATTCAATTACTATACATGAATACTGTTGGACTCTCCATAAAACTGTCAAATAGATCTATTTAACTATTTTCTGAAACTGTATTCATATTGCAATATTAAAAAAATATATATCGCAGATTTTTCCAATATCCTGCAGTCCTAATGTAAATATCAATTCTTTGACAAAAGCCAAGGTTGTGCAGTGATTTAACTGCCATGCAAATCCTCATCTTTGAGTTTCTCATATGAGATCAATCCAAAAGTGGATCTGTAAATACTTTATGACTACTGAAGTACATTTGTTCATGCTTTTATCAGCAGCAGAATGGATTACTGTAATGGACTCCACACTGGCCTTCCCAAAAAGAGAGTCAGACAGCTCATCCAGAACACTGCGGCCAGGATTCTGACCAGATTCAGAGCACATCACACCTGTCCTCAGGTCTTTACACTGCCCCCAGTTACATTCAGAGTAGATTTGAAAGTATTACTACTTGTCTATAAACTTGATCCAGAGAAAACCATCAAATAGAGCTATTGAAACCATCCTCTGAAACTTCTCAATATTTACCCCAGAAAAATGTGTGCAATATTGTGCAAATGCATAACTCTAAACGTAAATCTGTGTGTGTAATAGCAGGTGTGCTATGGCCAACACAAGAGTGTAATGGAGACACATATGGTCAGAGTGACAGTGGCACCGGGAGCCAAAAGCTTAATGAAGCCACTTTAATGCGCAGTTAATGAGTGACTCCGCTCTCCCACAAGGCAATCATCCGTGACTTTATCTAAACTAATCAATCACTGTACGCCAGAGTCAAAGGATGCTGAACCTAAAGCAGCGCTAGCCAAAAAAAAACATACTCTACAGATGCTGTCAGATCAAGTGCTGCTTTGGGACACCTTTATAAATGGCTGAGCGTGTACAGAGGAGCTCAGAACATTAAAACCTTGCAAAAAGGACACAAATGGGGAAAGTCTCGGAGATTTCAATCAATCCGCCCACTCTGACAGCCATCAACAATGGCAGATTTCTGATGAGAGATGAAAAGCCGGAGAGTATTTCTGTATTTCTGCTGAGTGTGAGGTTATTTTCACAACCAGCGGCCGTGTATCAGTCCACATTTGCTACATTTGATTTAGGGCTGCACGATATTGAAAGTAGAACGGTAATTTACACTAACCGGACACTTTATTAGGCACACCTGTCCAACTGCTCATTAACGCATTCATTTTCTAATCAGCCAATCACATGGCAGCAACTCAATGCATTTAGGCATGTAGACAAAACGTTGCCTGCTCTGATGAGTCTCCATTTCTGCTGCCACATTTGGATGGTCGGGTCAGAATTAGGGTCAACACTATAAAAGCATGGATCATCCTGCCTTGTATCAGGCTGGTGGTGGTGGTGTAATGGTGTGGGGGAGATTTTCTTTGGGTCCATTAGTACCAATTGAGCATCAACGCCACAGCCTACCTGAGTATTGCTGCTGACCATGTCCATCCCTTTATGAGCACAGTGTCTCCATCTTCAGATGACTACTTCCAGCAAAATAACGCTCCGATCATCTCAGACTGGTTTCTTGAACATGACGATGAGTTCACTGTACTCAAATGGCCCCCACAGTCACCAGAGCTCAATCCAATAGAGCAGCTTTGGGATGTGGTGGAACGGGAGATTGGCATCATGGATGTGCAGCCGACAAATCTGCAGCAACTGTGTGATGCTATCATGTCAATATGGAGCAAAATCTCTGAGGAATATTTCCAGTAGCTTGTTGAATCTCTGCCATGACAGATTAAAGCAGTTCTGAAGGCAAAAGGGGTCCAACGCAGTACTAGTAAGGTATACCTAATAAAGTGGCCGGTGAGTGTGTGTGTTTGTGTGTGTGTGTGTGTGTGTGTGTGTGTGTGTGTGTGTGTGTGTGTGTGTGTGTGTGTGTGTGTGTGTGTGTGTGTGTGTGTATATATATACCTACAGGGGTGTAGCGGAAAGTGGGGGGGGAGAGCTGAACAAGATTGAAAAGTTATTAATTTTATGATTGTATTTATACACCGTTGTTTTGGTGTGATATTTTCTTTTTTTTTTTTTTGTGAAGCACTGTATGAATATTGCATTGGAATTCAAAGAAAAAGATGTGTTATTTTTTTTTTGAGAAAACAGTCGACTTCAAAGTTTGGCATATTGCTTATTTGCCCATTATATATGGAAAACTTTTTATTCATAAATGTAAACGGGCAGTGAAAAAAACTAATTTTACTTACTTCAAAATAGAAATGGGTCATTACCTGTGCACGATAAAAGAAACAAAAAATGCCAAAGCAAAAAGAGCTGTTGAGCATTTTAAAGCATTCAATTTAGTTTTTTGATTAACTGTATTTTCTTTTCTTCCTATATTGTTTTTGTTTTGATGTCAACAATGTTGTTATTGCCCTTGTATGTTGTTCTAAATTTACTAAATTTTATTTTATTTTTTTTTTTAAGATTGAAAAGTTTACATTCATATAATTATTAATCACCGGTTTCTATATGGTCTGTCTCTAAAAGTAAGGGGAACATATCGCCCGTGCTCCCACCAGTTGCTACGCCCCTATATGCATATACACTTAAAGTCTTATTCGCCCCCCTTTGATTTTTTCTTTTCTTCTTTTGTAAATATTTCCCAAATGATGTTTAACAGAGCAAAGAAAAAAAAATCACAGTATGTCTGATAATATTTTTTTCTTCTAGAGAAAGTCTTATTTGTTTTATTTCG